GGCGGCGCTGACTTTGTTTGGCAAATGTGAGAATGACGTGTGTGGGAGCAATGCTCCAGAGTCAAGTGCGCAGCGCGAATAGGACGTAAGCGCCAGGATGGGGGTCATTCATGATACCATACAGTGGACGAGAGTTACACCATCCATGTGTGCATTTTCCTTTCCGCAGAAATTTTACATTTTGTGTGGGTCACAATCAACTAAGTCTGCGGATTTGAAGGTAGCTCTCAGATGCTTCTGCTTTAAGAGCGCCAGAGATCTAACGACAGGATTGGTCGTCCATCCTAACATGAAGTAAGTCAAGGGATGTACTATCGCATGACCTTAGTTTCAGTAGTGCGCAGAAAAAGGCTTCGAGTCCACGTGAGTTGTGATTTGTCCGGTCTGCTGACCGAGCATGTTAGCCAGCCATCATCTGGACTCTATACGACTTGATATTTATCAGCATTGAGTCACAGCCATTTATCCAATTTACACAGGTGCAACTAATACGGTAGCCTTTTACGGACAAATTGTGCGTGATCCTTGCCTAGACTTTGCGTAGTCTTCAGCCTTCATATGAGCAGGTTTAATTTGACCTGGTGCAGTCGGAGCAACAGTTGGCAGGAATCACCTGGAACCAGCAAGTTCAATGGATGTTTTGAGCGTTGGTTCATTCAAATCTGATCGAAATTTTCTAAAATTGAGAGGACATGTCTCTGACGAAAAGAGGCAGCTTTTGAGCCTCAGCGGTGCTCATTACATATCATTTACGTTTCCGTCGAACGAAGTCCTCAATGATTAAAAGGTGATAGTGAGAGTAGCCTGTAACTAATATATTAAAGAGTGTTCGGATCGACTATCTTTTCGCAGCTGAAGCAAGATTCATTGGCAAGGTGCTGTCCTGGAGGATACCGCTGATGCAGTGAGCTTGACGAGACACTAAAAGATTGTAGAAGCCGAGTGTAGCTTGAATCAGCCCCAGCCCTTCTGATCGGCAGACCACGTGTTCTAATGACCCGACCTCGAGAAGTCTAGCTGATACGCATGGGAACCCCAGCGCTAGCTGAAGCACCAAGCGTATTCGGTCGAAATAACCTGCAGAAGCATGGTTTACCACATGCGAAAAGAGAAACCCCTTCAGCAGTGCATAATCGTCTTCAAGCGAATGCACTGCATGTTCGCCGTTGTGCACGTTTTATGTAGCAGAAACAAAACGATGACGCAAAGACCAGAAGCAAGCAACCGCATGATCAATTTGAAAGGGGACCGTCTGTTGCCTGCCCCATCATTGGTCAAAATGAGGTGTCCTACGGGGGGATATCCGACGACGGTAGTAGCCTGAACTATTCGGACGTGCTCGCATCTGCACCGATAGGAGAAGAGAGCCGGCACAGGGGGGGGATACGCCAGACTGCCCAGCTGATAAGACAGGCAGCTGGCAGAACGGACATTAGAAGCCGTTTCTCGGTACTTTGTGAAATTCACGGACTTTGGACAAAAATAATGTTGGGAATTGACCTCAACTGCCCACAATGTTGAAACAAATAAGGGACTTCAACTTAGTGTATTTGGAGGTACAGAGAAGAATTTAGAGCAAGGGAGCGAGCGCATTTAAAGTACTTAACTTCACCGATTCCATTCTTATCTACCTGCGTTCTACATTATACAACTATTGCTCAGTGTCGGCTTTGAGGACATCCCGCCGATTGTTTCAGCAACAAAAGCCTCTTGTGCTACATTCATACTACGTTCACAGAGTAGACGATGCCCTTAAGTGTCTAGAGCACATGCATGTAACACACATACGATAGTGTCCCTGGATGCACCTAATTATTCCATTATTGCTAGGTCACAGGTCGGGTTGGTGAAAGGAAAACCAAAGCACAGTATTCGACATGGGCAAAGAAATTGACAGTAGGTGATACCACAAGTAAAATGTCAGACCGGAGACGCATGCAGGTGTCTGTCTTCGCTCAGCAATTGTGCTCCTACCTGCCACCACCAGTACTTCTTACTGATCCACATTGTTGCCACATTTAGCAGCAGTACTTATTTTTATCGGACTCCTTGTGACTTTGTACCACCCTCCTCTCCTTCTTTCGAGGACGATACGAATGACTTTACGTGACTTGAACACAAACGAAGTTCATCGACTGATTAGCACCGTGCAGGTATGTAGACAGTTCGACAATGCAACCTTCGATCTGCTTATGCGTACTGAGTGACGTGCGTACTGATTGACGTGATAGTAGCTGTAACAATAACGTTTTGTGCACCTGTACTCTCTTGCGTGGCTTTCGTACAGCACAAAAAGGCTTCAAAGTGGAAAGAAATGCGCCTACAAGCGCTTTCTCACAGGTGCGAGACAACTACATGTTGTACGTGTCAGATAGTCTGACCAAGGCAACCCATACACACGGACAACTTCTTTGCAAACAGTTTTTATTGTAGACGGTTTTGGTAACAGTTCTTTCGAAAGGCCTGGCGAGGATCTTAACATGACAAAGTGATGGACAAGCGCCTTGAAATGGAAAGCTTGGCGAGCGAAAAATAGCGCAACATCATTGTACGATCGCTCATACTTCGTCGCAAATTGATCAAGCCTCGTGATGATGTTGGATAAAGCTACTGCGTCATTTCTCGAGCTGTTTGTGGCAGTAGCCTGCCACTGTATTAGTTATGTGTAGCCTCCCACTGTATAAATTATGTGCGTGTACCTTGGTGTTGCGGACAGCAATTGTCAAGTGTTCTGCCGACGTGACGCGTATTCGATACCTTCTTCTAGAGGACGCGCAGCGCTAGATGCTTAAAAACCAGTATGTACCAACAGCGACTCTGGAAGTCCAGTGCTTTGCCTCTACTTCCACGATACGTTTATTCGTACACAACAGTTTGGCAGGAATAAAAGCTGCGAGCTTTGATGTAACGGGGTGAATCGTTACATAACAATTTATAAGAAATTGTTACTAGAATATAACTATAAGAGTTATATTCTCAGAATATTGTCATAAGGACAAATATTCTGTTGCACTTACAAGTAGTTCCTAATTGGTTGATATAGGCCATTATATCAACCAACGAAGACGCGCCACAACAGACGCACGCAGTGAGTGGTGAGCAGATAACTGATTTACACATTTGTATTTAGACATAGTTAGATGAAGATAAATAGTGATTTATTGCAGACATTAACTATTATAAATGCATTTCTACTTTTTACTCTAACCAAGTACTCGCTTCTTCTTACCGTCTTCCTCTGCACGTACTAGTGTACGTGAAGTTCCGAGGCACCGCCTTATTCTGTCTTCAGGATAAGTAGCTTGTACTGTAACCAGTACAAGCTTCAGGGTGCCCCGTTACACCTGGTAGCACTTCGTAGTCCGTCCAAGGACCGCGTTCACATCCAACATGAATATGTTGAATGATGAAGGTGACCAAAGCTTTCACGCTACGCGTGACGGCTACTCCCATTTGAGCGATGTCGAATGGGATGCGGTTGAACGAATGGGTTCGACCATGGGCATCCATGCTGTTAGCGTCATGCTAGAGGCTCTCAATAGAGATGCCCAACATGCTACTATCGCCAAGTTCATTCAAATTTAACTTGACGCCGAACGCGAGAAAGTAGCCTTGCTTCACCAACAAGGTTCTCAACAAGCAGAGTTGTTGAGAGAACAAGGTGCTCAACAGTTTGAACTGTTGAGACAGCAGCAGGCTGCTGCTGGCGGGTCGATGCACTCGCGTCGACCCGAAACCTTGAAGATTGACATCTCCAAGTATAGGGGAGTCGAAGAGGACGCCCTCTTGAGATGGTTCGTCGAATTAGACGACGCCATAAGGGCGCGTCGCATCGACGACGGGGATATGCAAGTTGCATTTGCCCAATCAAATCTGGCAGGACGTGCCAAGACTTGGGCACTGGGGCTCAAGTTGCACGACCCATATGCGTTTGGGTCGTTAGAAGTCTTCAAGTCGCGGCTCAGACAAACGTTTGAACCGCCTAGAGCTGAGTTCAGAGCTCGAACCGAACTCTTGAAGCTCAAGCAGGGTAAGCGTGATGTGCACGCTTACGCTCAACATATACGACATCTCACGAGTTGTATAAGTTCCAATCCGGTGAATGAGCACACGTTGGTTTCGGTGTTCATGCAGGGTCTTGCGGATGGTCCCGTCAAGACTCACCTGTTCCGGCTTGAACTAGATTCACTAGAACAAGCCATTTCCATTGCGGAAAAGGAAGACTTCAGTCTGAGACAGGCTCGCGCCAGCTCGACATCATATCGTCAACCGAGACGATATGACAGCGGAGGTTCAGAGTCGATGGAACTCTGTTATGTAGAGAGCGAGAAGGCTCGCTCTACAGACTACAAGAAGTTGCAGAGATGCAACAGATGTCAAAAGACAGGACACTACGCTTACGAGTGTAGTGCCCCTCGTCCAGTGTCTCGCGACACTGGGCGTAGTGACCGTCCACCCATGAGAAAGGGACAGGGACGAGGGTCCGCAGTTGGTGCAAAGACGCAACAACGGGATGGACCGTCAAAAAACGGACAGGATCAGTAGGTGCGGAGCACCCTACTGGTCCAGCAACGTCAAGAGAATTTGTAGGCCTCTTGATGAAGGTTGCTCCCAACACACAAACGTTGTGCGTTGCTGCTCTAGGTAATGAGGTCTCACTCATTACCTTGAAACTCGAAGTGACGAATAAGTTGTCTCTTCGAGCTCTAGTCGATTGTGGGGCGTCCAACAATTTTGTGCGACGCCAATCGCTAGAAGATGGTCACTTCAAGCTCAGTGACTGTGACACACCTCCTACGAGGATGACGGTACGTCTTGCGACAGGCGCATCCGTAACCGTCATGAAGCGTATAGTGAAGATCCACTATACGCTAGAAGATACCCAATTTGACGATGACTTTATCGTATTGGATTTGGATGACAAATTTGATGTCATCCTTGGAATACCGTGGCTCAGAAGGTACGAACCACGAGTAAACTGGCAACATCGAACAGTAACGATGCCTGCCGCTTGTTCATCAGATGGCCATCTGATGAACGTTTTGGAGCGTCCACAAGCGTGTGGATGTACTACGAGTGAGTGCGATGGCCTCACTTGTGGTACGGTCGTTAGTACGACTGCACAAAACCTTAGTGTACCAAACGGTTACACTTCGGAGCAAAGTTCCGGCGGCTGTGAGGAAGCACAGACTGCGCCGAAGGTCCACCACTCGAATAAGTCGGGTGGACTGGGACAAAGATGTATCCCTAGCGGGGAACATCTAGAAGAGAAACAATCGATCGCTCAGGTTAAGCGAAACGATAATCCTAGATCGACTGGAGAGTCTTTCGTAGAGGATATCGCTGTGGTTGCGCAACCCCAGCTAGAGGAAGTCAAGGGAATAAGTCCCAAGATTACAAATACGGCGAAAATAAGTTCCCCGGAACCCGCGGGAATAAGTCCCCGGGAAGCCGAAGGAATAAGTCCTTCGAAGCCTGAGGGAATAAGTCCCCAGGAAATGACAGAGACATTGAATGTCATAGTCAATAACGGATCATGTGTAGGCGCTTATACACTTGATCTGATTGCGCCTCCGAAGTTGACTTCGGAGATCACTCAGTTGCCAACGCTCGAACATAAAAGGTTCTTGCGTGATCTGCGTAGTGGCAAAGTCAAGCAGATCTGCGTACTCGTCGCTGACGACGAGTGTGTAGCCGACATAAGGTCAGCAACAGTGTTCACTGAGAACGATAGAGTTCTCAGTAGTTCATCTATGGACGAGAGCGTCCTAGATGAAAAGAAACGAGTTGAGCGATATGACTCCCAATCATGGGAATCGCTCAAGAAAAATCCTCTCTGTGAAGATTTGGTTAAATTCAAGGATGTATTCCCTGAAACTGTTCCGTGCGAATTACCGAAGGATAAAGGTACTCGACACGAGGTCGAGCTTAAACCAGGCTCGAAGTACTGTGTCATGAAGCAGTGGCCACTGCCTCGTGAACAAGTACTTGCGATCGACAAGCTCTTTGCCGATCGTTTAGCTGCGGGCCATGTGAGGGAATCAACTTCCCCACATAGCTCTCCGACCTTCTGTGTGCGAAAGCAACAGGAGGGTGGCGGATAGTGCACGCGTTCAACAAATTGAACGCTGCAACGGTACCGGCTCAGACGCCGATACCGAGGAAGGACGTAATCATTGATGGTATGTCAAAGAGTACCATCTTTTCGTCCATGGATTTGATGGATGGCTTCTATCAAATCCTAATGCGGGAACGGGATATACCCTATGCCGCAGTTAGCACGCCTAGCGGCATGCTCTGGGAATGGCTAGTAATGCCACAAGGGCTTAGTAATGCCCCTGCCACGTTCAACAGATGTGTATCACATCTGTTGAGACCAGTACGAGAATTCGCGCCGAGTTATTTCGATGACGTATTCATCCATTGACGAGCTATGGATGGAAAGTCGGAAGTTGAGGTTCACAGATGCCACGTCCGACAGGTTCTTACAATCGTGCGAAAGCATCAATCGTATGCAAATCTCAAGAAGTGTATATTTGTAGCAAGCGAAATACCACTTCTTGGGTGCATCGTTGGTAAGAACGGTGTACGTCCTGATCCCGAAAAGATCAAGGCGATCACCGACTGGCCGGTGCCGGTCGATGTCAAAGGTCTTCAAAAATTCCTTGAGCTAGCGGCGTATTTGCATAAGTATTCACGCAATTACGCCGAGATGACTGTGCACCTCTCTCGTTTGTTGAAAAAGAACGAGAGGTGGTTATGGAACGCTGAATGTCAACGCTCCTTTGAGGGTATCAAGCAGAGCTTGATACAATCCCCAGTCCTAGCAATAGCCGATCAGGACAGGCCATTTCATGTGGTCTGTGATGCCAGCGATTTCGCAATCGGCTGTGCACTAATGCAGTACGATCTTGAAGGCGTTGAACGCGTCGTCTGCTATCAGTCGCGTCAGCTGCAACCAGCTGAGCGGAACTATTCAGTGCATGACAAGGAACTCCTTGCCATGAAGTATGCACTCGCGAGGCTCAGAGTCTATCTCTTAGGAGATAGACCCTTCATTGTTTACACAGACCATGCGTCATTACGCACGGCAGTGAACAGCCCGCACCTTTCACAACGAATGGCGCGGTGGTTGTCATTCTTTGCAGACTGCAACTTTACGGTCGAGTACAAACCAGGACGACTTAATGTCGTCGCTGATGCACTCTCACGTCGTCCCGAATTTGAAACAGTCGCGAAACCCAACAGTGAGACAGTCACTGTTGCGGTTATGACGTCCTCAGTCCCATCTACAACGTTGTATGATGATGTGAGGCGGGCGTATGCCCCAGAAGGTGAGATAGTGAAGTTGTTGTCACATCTCTCCCAACCATCTCGAGAATCATTGAAACGATTGTCGCCTGCGTATCGATCTGCATCAGATCGATACACTACTCGCAACGGTTTACTGTATTATACAGCCGTTTCTGGTGACACGCCACGTGTTGTCATTCCAGATGATATTGATCTGCGTTTGCGGATCATGTTCGAGTATCACGATGCTCCTATAGGAGGACATCGTGGCCGTGACAAAACATATCTCACGGTAAGTCGAGACTTTTACTGGCCCCGCCAGTATCAGTTTGTGCGAAAGTATGTTCGCGCATGCGAAGTCTGCCAACGAGTGAAGTCAAGTCCTTCACTGCGTGCACCTTTACAGCCTCTACCGGTTCCGGCTGAGTGCTGGGAATCCATCTCAATCGATTTTGTCTTCGGGTTACCCAAAGACGCACGCGGGAATACGGGTATTCTCGTATTTGTTGACAGATTCAGCAAAATGGTACACCTTGTGGCTGTATCAGAGACAATCACGGCAAGTGGCTGTATCAGAGACAATCACGGCAAGTGGATGTGCTTGTGTTTTTATTGACACCGTCTTCCGACTTCATGGGTTGCCCCGTGAACTCGTATCAGACAGAGATCCACGCTTCACTGCTGATTTCTGGCGTTCCGTGTTCAAATCACTCGGAACGCGCTTGAAGATGTCAACATCTGACCATCCAGAGTCAGATGGTCAGACGGAACGTGCCAATCGTGTCCTTGAAGAGACCCTTCGAGGATACGTACACTCCTTTAAGAGTTGGAGTGAGTTCTTGCAAATGGTAGAGTTTGCCATTAGCAACTCGGTGCATGCGTCCACGACACATACACCGTTTTACGTGAATGGCTTGCGCCATCCGCGTGTACCCACCTTACTAGAGTGTAACTCTGGTTTAAGGGGGGAGGGACTCGCGCGAGCAAAAACCGATTTGTTTCACGCTCATCACGCTCTGACGAAGAAGTCATTGCGTTTGATGCCGATATCGATAACATCGATATCGAAGAAGATGATGCCAGTGAGAGTGCGGAAGCCCTCACTGAAGACAATGATCCCAGTGAGAGTGCGGAAGCCCTCACTGAAGAAAAGGTTGTTGTTGCTGCAGTGCGCTCACAGCACACTGAAGCTAACGAGTCATCAGATGAGTTCATACTGGCTCGTGAAACGGTAGTCCGTTTTGTGCAAGACTCCATCGCCGAAGCGGTGGATAAGCAAAAGCAAAACGCTGACAAGAATGGAAGGGCAAACACTCTTTTATTTAGTAAAGGTGACTTAGTCCTACTGTCTACGGTTAATCTACCAAAGCATGTAATGACTAACTTGGGTAGCAGTAAACTACTACCCAAGTACATTGGCCCATTTCGTGTATTGCACCGCCTAGGCAATGCATACACGATCGAGTTACCACGTAAGATGCGAACGCATCCCACGTTTCACGTTGGTCGGCTTAAGCCGTACCATCAGTACGCTGCTTCTTCCTATGAAGAACGCTCTTGCGCTCAAGCATCTCACAGAGGGCCTTGTGCTCCCGATGGTGGATTTCAATAAGGGTCTGAAGAGCAGTTATTTCAGCCCGAGATCGGTCAATATCCCCACGAGCTACCCTTAGCTCGTCACGCAGATATGTCAAAGCTCTCTCTTTCTCAAGCTGAGCAAAGGCAAACTCAGCTCGATGCTTCGAGGCAGTGTCCGCCAGTTGGAGACGCCTGTCCCGCTCATGTTCGAGATCGTCGCGTAACCCTTTCGTTACGCGATCAAAGAGGCTTTCGGGAACACACTCTTCCCCACGATTGTGTGGAGAGCGTCTTTCCTCCTTCTCCGCCTCGATTAGAGGACTCTCGCGGTGACCAGTGCTATCTGGTTGAGCAGCTGTTGAACCACCGCGATGTGAACGGACGTCGGAAGAGTCATCTCGTCCGGTGGCGCGGCTATCCCCCGTCCTGGGATACTTGGGAGCCCCGCTCCCAACTAATGATCGACGTACTGGGTCTGGTTGAGCAGTACGACGCGGCACATCCTGTGGCGCAGAAGTACTGCTAGAGAAAGTCTTCCCGGCACGGTCGTAAAGGGATTTCAGGCTGTCAATCCCTTCTTACATCTCACTAGAGATACGTACGCGCCACCATGGGCTATTAGGGAGGTAAGCCTCCTTAGGTGCGCGCGCAGAGTTGTTCACACAACATGGGCACGGGTCTCCCCAAGAGAGGCAGGGTAATCCTTTCTCCCTTGACAGACGATGCAGCTTGTAGCGTGCACCTGTCGGGGTTCGCTTTTCAAACTTATCACGAGCTTTGATAAGTTTGTCGTTCCAAGCGTCACGACCTACATCCTCGAGGTTATGGATGTAGGCGTTCCACGCCTGAAGTAGTGAGGGACCATCACGTTTGTGATTCCCACTGTACCATCGATGTCTGAAGAAAGCATCGATGAAGAATTCGTGTTCAGCGCGATAGTTTTTCGCGCTGGGGTCAAGGTGATGGATCCTTGACGAATCGAACAATCGTGTTCGATAACGATCACTCGTCGTCGCCGACAAGTGATCCATGACGGATTTCGGAGGCATCCATGCCTTCTTTTCTGGAGCGAGACGCAAGACATTGCGGTCCCGCTCTTCCTGCGACGTGCCGACAGAAGTACTGGCACCTCGCTGTGAAGTGGTGTCCATTGGAGAACCGACAACACTATTAGCGCCCGAGTCTCGCGACCTCGAGCGCCTTCGCTTCGGCGATGGTTCATCTGATTCATCAGATGAACCGAAGATGCTGCGACGCAAAGCATCGTCCATGCCACGCTTGGCAGGCGGCTTGGATTCGATCGCCGTCGATACGGATCCGTCATCCGTATCAGGAGAGTACGAGACACCGAGCTCGTACTCTGTGAAGACACGAGTGTCTTCATGACCAGCGCCTGCATCACCAGGTGACACAGGCTGAGTCGCTTCAGCAACCGATGGGACATCAGTTGTTGTAGTTTCTGCTTCGGCGTCCGCACAGAGACGTGCGGACGCGCTCTCGGCGGCCTTGCTCGCGCACAGCATGGGCTTGTTAACTATGCGATGAAATGTTGGGAAGTGGACTCGGACCAACAAGTGCAAACCCTGTCCCAAATGGTTTGGGACGAGTATCCATTTAATTAATCAGTCACTAAAGTGACTGATGGTTAAGGGGGGGGGTGATGTAACGGAGTGAATCGTTACATAACAATTTATAAGAAATTGTTACTAGAATATAACTATAAGAGTTATATTCTCAGAATATTGTCATAAGGACAAATATTCTGTTGCACTTACGAGTAGTTCCTAATTGGTTGATATAGGCCATTATATCAACCAACGAAGACGCGCCACGACAGACGCACGCAATGAGTGGTGAGCAGATAACTGATTTACACATTTGTATTTAGACATAGTTCGATGAAGATAAATAGTGATTTATTGCAGACATTAACTATTATAAATGCATTTCTACTTTTTACTCTAACCAAGTACTCGCTTCTTCTTACCGTCTTCCTCTGCACGTACGAGTGTACGTGAAGTTCCGAGGCACCGCCTTATTCTGTTATCAGAATAAGTAGCTTGTACTGTAACCAGTACAAGCTTCAGGGTGCCCCGTTACATTTGAAGTGCATGGCAACGCAGTGCTAGGTCAGTTAAGGTCAGCTGCGACATTTCGTTTCCGCGGAGTTTACTGATTCCTCTTCTTGCGGTTGTTTGCAGAGAGACATACTTGTCCGGTCCGACACGCACGC